ATATATATATATACACACACACACACATACACACACACACACACACATATATATATATATATCATATCATATATTATATTAATTATATACATATATAATATATATAAAACAAGAAATATACATAATGTATTAAAGCATTCCATGTATTGTATCAAGAAGAGAAACAATGGCCTGATATTTACATCAAAATCCAAATTAATGTTAGTCAAAGTATTAAGGACCTATGTTTCTAAGAAAATAAAAAGTTGACATGTATCCTACATAAAACAAAATGAAAGTAAAAAATAAACTCCATGTGGGGAGGAAAATTACCACACACAAAAAAATAAAATATATATATTGTGACAGAAAGCAAGGAATTGTGCTGGAAGGAACCTATATACCTCCCCAGATTTTGCAAGGTTCTTACTTTGTGTAATTAGCCCCAGGGAAATGTGTTATGTTCCAATGAATGTTGCACTTTAAATATGTGTATATTTGGGCCCTGGGGTGGAGCACCTGGAGAGTAGGGTGGGCCAGTGCTCCACTCCACATTTTGGAAGTTGCTTGGTGAGAAGTCCAGTTCTGGAGTTTGAATCCTAATCTAACTCACCTGAAAAGGATTGTCAATTACCAGTGCTATAAAGTACTCCCCTGCCAAGGAAGAAGGGAGATTGTGTTTGGTTTCTGTGAGTGGAAACAGAGAGCTGAAAACCCTGAAGCAGTAAGGCTGTTTATGTTTATGTTGGGAAATGGACAAGCCATCCAACCCAGTTAGCTGATTATTTTGTTTAGTTAGTGCTCAGAAGAGCAAGGCTTTTGTTTGATATATTTTTGTTACCTTTATACCTTACTGTGCATTTATTTTGGAACCTCAATAAAAGAGCAAGTCAGTTTACCTCATCCAGCGTGTGAAGTGTCTCTAAAGCCTGAAAAGACTGTGTGTAACACCCCGATCCCAGGACAAGGTACCAAGGGAAAGGAGTACTTTTGTCACATATGGTGGAGAATGCGGGCAGCACACGGCAAAGTCTGTAAGTAGGGAGAAAGAGACTGCTGAGAAAATGGAGGATGTCATGAAAGCTTTGCTCCAGTCCACTGCTGTACAGCAAGAGACAAACAGGAGGACTGCAGAGACTAATGCAATACAGCAAGAGAGCATTTCAATACTGCAGCAGCTTGTACTGGCTCAAAAGGAAAATACAGATGCTTTATTCAAGCAAGTTGAAGCAACACAGGCAGCAGCGCATCAAGTGCTCAGAGAGGAGCAGCAGCGTGCCACATGTGTCATACAGCAGGAGATCCAGAGTCTATCACAAAGGCTGGCCAGGGATGCCACAGACTTACCACAATGTCCAAAGGTGATCAGAGTGAGTCACTACTTGCAAAAGATGGTATCCACAGATGATGTAGAGGCCTATCTGATGGCATTTGAGCGAACCGCTGAGCGAGAAGGTTGGCCTGAAGCGGAATGGGCAAGTCTGCTAGCACCGTTTCTTACTGGTGAATCCCAGAAAGCATACTATGATCTGGAACCAGCGGAAGCCAGTGACTACAAGAAGCTGAAAGCAGAAATACTGGCACGCCTGGGGGTGACAACAGCCGTCCGTGCCCAGAGATTTCATTCATGGACTTACAGCCTGGATAAAGCGATTCGTTCCCAGATGTTTGACTTGATACACCTTGCCAGAAAATGGTTGCAGCCAGAGATCAACTCACCCAGCCGCATTGTGGAGCAACTGGTGATGGAAAGATTCCTAAGAGGCTTACCTATTGGGCTTCGTCGGTGGGTCAGCCAGAGCAATCCCCAAACAGCTGACCAATTGGTTGAATTGGTTGAACGGTATATAGCAGCGGGAGAACTGCTTCAACCTCCTGGCCAAGAGAGACCCAAGAATCCGAAAACCTACAACCCCAGCAAATCTGGTAAGACTGTTCCAGGGAAAAGGGGGTCTTTTGATGAGAGAACAGGGTCTTATTACCCAAGAGACAATGTTAAAAGAGAAAAAGACTTTGGGAGGTGGGAAGAGCCTACAAATGAATCAAAAAGTACTAATTATGGTATAAAATGCTTTAAATGCAGAAACTTTGGACATATTGCAAAAGACTGTCCTGAAAATGTTGAACCAATGGAGTGTAATTTTGGTAATAATTGGGAAGGAATTGCACTCTATTCGCAGGTTGTATGTTCTGTGGAAAAAAATGGTTATTTGAATAGTCACCCTGGGTGTACCGTGAATGTGGAGGGAAAAAATATACAGGCATTGCTAGATTCAGGGAGTATGGTTACCCTTCTAGACCAATCCTTATTACAGGATACTCATATTGTTTACTCTGGAAAAGTTGATATTGCTTGTGTACACGGGGATATACATAACTACCCTACTGCAGATATACTTGTTAAAACCCAGTGTGGTACTGTAAACTGCAGAGTGGGGCTGGTACCAAAACTGGCACATGAGATGATTATTGGAAGGGATTTTCCCCATTTTCTAGACCTATGGGCATGTTTTGAAAACCCATCAGGTGAACAGAATGATGAATTTCCTTTTGCAGATACTCTGGCAGATGAGAGATCATGATGATGAGCCTAACAGTATGCAGCACTCCCCTATAAAAACATTAGTTGGTGAAAACCCAGAACAAACTAATGCGGGACCTTCTAGAAGCTCTGAACCAGATATAGAGTTAGTTGATTTAGAGGTTAGGCCTGGTAACTTCAGAAGTGCACAGTGGTCTGACCCAACATTATTGGTAGCCAGGAATAATATTTCTATAAGGAATGGATCCCCTGTCAATCCAGGGAATTCTCTTACTTACCCTTATTTTGAAGTGGATAATGATCTGTTGTACAGAGTTGAGAAAAAAAGAGTCCGTTATTACAAAGCAGCTGTTAGTACCACAAGCCTATTGGCGCACTGTGTTAAACCTTGCACATAGCCATGTTTTGGGGGGTCACCTAGGGGTTGACAAAACAAGAGAGCGTGTTTTGAGGAGATTTTACTGGCCTGGAGTAATTGCAGCTATCAAAAACTACTGTTCGTCATGCCCTGAATGTCAGGTCACTGCGCCCTTTACGGCTTACCGTAGCCCTTTAGTACCCTTGCCTATTATTGAAGTGCCTTTTGAACGTATTGCTATGGATTTTGTGGGTCCTCTGGTGAAATCCAGTAGGGGGCATCAGTATATATTAGTAGTACTAGACTATGCTACCCGTTACCCTGAGGCAATACCTATGCGCACAACCTCAGCAAAGTCCATTGCTAAAGAGTTAATGATGATGTTTAGCCGGGTTGGGATTCCCAAGGAGATCCTATCAGATCAGGGTACTCCATTCATGTCCAAGGTTACAAAGGAACTCTGCAAGCTCCTTCACATTAGACACCTCAAAACCTCTGTTTATCACCCACAAACCGATGGTTTGGTTGAGCGATTTAATAAAACCTTAAAGGCTATGCTGCGCAAAGTAATTGATAAAGATGGGAAAAACTGGGACTTTCTATTGCCCTATTTAATGTTTGCCATTAGAGAAGTACCCCAAGCTTCCACGGGTTTCTCACCTTTTGAATTATTATATGGCAGACACCCCAGGGGATTACTTGACATAGCAAAGGAAACTTGGGAACAAGAAGCAAACCCACATCGCAGTGTAATAGAACACATAACTCAGATGCAGGAACGTATTGAAGCCATTATGCCAATAGTCAGAGAACACATGCAAAAGGCTCAACAAAATCAGCAGAATAGCTATAATAAGGATGCTAGAATTCGAGTATTTCAACCAGGAGACAGAGTACTAGTCTTGGTTCCCACAGTAGAGAACAAATTCCTGGCAACTTGGCATGGGCCATATGAGATTATTGAAAGAGTGGGAGAGGTAAATTATAAAGTAAGGCAACCAGGTAGAAGAAAGGAAGTGCAAATATACCATGTCAATTTGCTAAAACCATGGAAAGAAAGGGAAATTCTGGTTACTACAGAGGCCTCAACCTTCCCTGATAAGTGTAATATTGACCCCGAAGTAAATATCTCAGAGACCCTGTCAATACACCAGACAAGGGAAGTTAAGGAGTTTATTAGATTAAATAAAGAGGTATTCTCCCCAGTCCCAGGAAGGACTAGCGTGATTAAACATGACATTTTAACAAAACCAGGAAAAAGGGTAAATCTCAAACCATACAGAATACCCGAGGCTCGTAGAAAAGCTATCAGAGCAGAGGTTAAGAAAATGTTAGATCTTGGAGTCATTGAGGAGTCACAAAGTGACTGGAGCAGTCCAATTGTGCTGGTACCAAAGCCTGATAATACAGTACGGTTTTGTAATGATTATCGCAAACTGAATGCTATTTCTAAGTTTGATGCATACCCCATGCCTAGAGTTGATGAGCTAGTAGAACGACTTGGGAGAGCTCGGTACCTCACTACACTAGATTTAACCAAAGGTTATTGGCAAGTACCACTCACAGAGCGAGCAAAAGAAAAGACAGCATTTTCTACTCCTGACGGCCTATTTCAGTACAGAGTTTTGCCTTTCGGCTTGCATGGTGCCCCTGCCACATTCCAAAGAATGATGGGCAGAATACTAAAGCCGCATGTGCGCTATGCAGCTGCATACTTGGATGATGTTGTAGTACACAGTGAGGATTGGGAATCTCACCTTCCAAAAGTACAGGCTGTCCTTAACTCAATACAAAATGCTGGCTTAACTGCTAACCCTAGTAAGTGTACGATTGGCCTAGAGGAAGCAAAGTATTTGGGCTACTCTATTGGTAGGGGACTAGTGAAACCCCAAGTTGCTAAAATTGAAGCCATACGAAATTGGCCGAGACCACTGACTAAGAAACAGGTGAGAACATTTCTTGGCCTCATTGGCTATTACAGGAGATTTATATCCAATTTTGCTACAATTGGAAGCCCATTAACTGACCTTACTAAAGCTAATGCTCCAGTAGTGGTAAAATGGTCCCCAGAGACGGAACAAGCATTCAGAAAGCTTAAAGAAGCCATTTGTGCCCAACCAGTGTTGGTAACACCTGATTTTTCTAAAGAATTTATTTTACAGACGGATGCATCTGATGTAGGACTAGGTGCTGTTCTCTCTCAAGAAATTCAGGGTGAGGAGCACCCCATATTATATTTAAGCAGGAAGCTTAATCCCCAGGAAAGAAACTATTCCATTGTTGAGAAGGAGTGTCTGGCTATAAAGTGGGCGGTAGACACACTCTTGGGACGAAAATTCAGACTAGTGACAGACCATGCACCCCTTACTTGGATGAGCCAAAACAGGGAGAAAAATAGTAGAGTAACCCGCTGGTTCCTTAGCTTGCAACCCTATAATTTCTCCATTGAGCATAGGGCCGGGAGTAAACAGGGAAATGCAGATGGTCTTTCGCAGATGCACTCTCTAATGTCCATGGTCGCTCGACCCTATAGGTCTGAGCTGGGGGGGAGGATGTGTGACAGAAAGCAATTAATTGTGCTGGAAGGAACCTATATACCTCCCCAGATTTTGCAAGGTTCTTACTTTGTGTAATTAGCCCCAGGGAAATGTGTTATGTTCTAATGAATGTTGCACTTTAAATATGTGTATATTTGGGCCCTGGGGTGGAGCACCTGGAGAGTAGGGTGGGCCTGTGCTCCACTCCACATTTTGGAAGTTGCTTGGTGAGAAGTCCAGTTCTGGAGTTTGAATCCTAATCTAACTCACCTGAAAAGGATTGTCAATTACCAGTGCTATAAAGTACTCCCCTGCCAAGGAAGAAGGGAGATTGTGTTTGGTTTCTGTGAGTGGAAACAGAGAGCTGAAAACCCTGAAGCAGTAAGGCTGTTTATGTTTATGTTTATGTTGGGAAATGGACAAGCCATCCAACCCAGTTAGCTGATTATATTGTTTAGTTAGTGCTCAGAAGAGCAAGGCTTTTGTTTGATATATTTTTGTTACCTTTATACCTTACTGTGCATTTATTTTGGAACCTCAATAAAAGAGCAAGTCAGTTTACCTCATCCAGCGTGTGAAGTGTCTCTAAAGCCTGAAAAGACTGTGTGTAACACCCCGATCCCAGGACAAGGTACCAAGGGAAAGGAGTACTTTTGTCACAATATATATATATAAATGGGGTGGGTGGGGGTTACAGAAGTATAAACAGAATAAAAATAGGCAGTGAGGGGTATGAGTCAAAATTTCAACAACTCAAAAAACAAGGCCTAAATGGTTGGGTGGTAATGTGTGCACATATCAGAATTTCAAGCAGATCAGGTCTTCTTAATATAGTAAAATTATAAAACTTACTGACACGGAGGGCAGAGCCTGACTATCCGAGAAGATGGCAGCATAATCGAAGAGCTTCACTGAGACCACCCTTTAATCCACAGCAATCATCATTACATATTCCTATTATACTCAAAGCCACCCCTCTTGAAGATACCCGAGCTCCTCTACTACACTGAAATCGCTGCACTCCTCAGTGGCACCGATCTTTAAAACTAGGCCGGCAAAGTCCAGGAAGCCATCTTCCCACCGACCACCCTCAGACTCTGACACAAGTAGCACAGCCCCGTTGGAAAGAACAGAGGCACCCCTAATCAGCAAGCACGATATGTTGCCGAGGATCTCCAAAAGCACCTGAAACAACTAGTGTATGGCATGGCGGAGCTTAAGACCCGCACACACAAGACAGAAGGGAAAATGGAAGAGATGGCTGAAGTAGTGGATGGCCACAGCACATATCTTTGGGACCTTAGGGAGCAAATCCACCTCCTTGAAGAAAGCAAAGGAAGATCTGAGCAACTGCACCTGCCAGAACACCATCTGGATCAGAGGATTGCCGAGACAATTTCTGTAGAACTCCTGCAGAAGAAATTGACAGAGGCATTTAGGGGCCTTCTACCAGCTACAAATGTAGCCCAGCCAAGAGACATCATCACCCAGCTCCATTATTTCCACATCAAGGAGCAGATCCTGGCAGCAGCCAGAGATAGTCCGGTATTTGTAGATGTATACAGCATTCAACAATTTCAAGACCTGGCTCCCAGCACCCTGAGAAATGGAGAGAATTACGGCCCCTCACGTTGCTACTTTCCCATCACGGTCTGCAATATGCCTGGGGTTACCACTTTGAGCTGGCTGCTCAGAAGGAAAATAACTACTATACATTTACCCAAGTGGTGGAGATCCTGGAATTTCTGGATAAACTGGGCATAAAGACAATAGCGCTACCTCCACATCAAAGGCCCAAATGCACCAGACCCCAGGAACCACCTCAGCAACAGACCACACCACTTGGCGCCAAAGCAGCATGCCCGGAGCCAACCAAGAAAACACCAGCCATGCCCTGTGTGATGAACTGGACCAGTTCTTGGAGTGGCATACTTGCCAGCATCTTGCCCTGTGACTGTAGCCCCTGTAATGAATTTTGGGTTAAAGACTCTGGTTGTGCCTTTTGGACTTCTAACAGGAACAATTTAAACTTTTGAAGTGGCACGTCGAGCTCCCAAACTCCCGAAGCCATTGAAAGTGCCATTCGACCAGGTGGTGGTGGCCATCTTGTTCACATGGAGCAAAACCATGAATAGATTTCAGGAGGACTTATGCGCGAATGCCCTTGAACTATTTTTGGCATGAAAAATTTGTGGTTCCCGGTCGGTTACCCAGAGGCACTTAGCCGCAATTCTATGGAACTAGTTTCGTCCTGAAGACTTCGCGGTTCCCGGTCGGTTCTCCAGCGGCACTTAGCCGCGATTCTATTGAACTATTTTCGGCTATGGGACCATGCCTGCGGTCGGCAAAACTATGACTTCCATAACATTTCTGAGCCCCTGAACTGATCTGGGTGATTTTGGATATGTTGGTCACCCAGATCAGAGCTATCAGGGGATGTAACATTTATGGGGATTTTAAGTGTTTTAAGGTATTTTCGCGGTTTTCTAAAAATGTGTGTTTTTTGTGTTTGGAGATAATTGAGTTTAGTATAGTGCTTGACTCAATTATCTCCTAAGTAAAGGGAAAGGCTTATTGTATTGTGTGTGTGAGTGACATGCATTGTAACTCTGTTATCATTGGTTTGTAAGTTTGTGTCCCTGTCCCCAACAAGGGCCATGTGGGTGTACCCCTTGCATGGGGACTGTTATAAAAGGCTAGTGTGGCACCATTAAAATTCAGTGCTGCTTAACCCTCAACACGTAACCTTGTCTCGTGATTGTAGGGAACCACTATACAGCTATACTACTAGCTCTTACAAGAGCTTCACAGCTATACTCTCTTGGAGGAGAGGCCTTCCCACTGAATCCCTGGATCCAGGTGTCTGGTCCAGGGTGGAACGGGACGGCAAGACCCCAGCCAAGCTGCAGCAGTTTGTGGAGTCTACGGTGCTTATGGTGTCCGGTGTGGGTTTTATGGTCCTCAGCGTCAGCTAGGAAACATCGATTGGCAGAGGTACCCAGTCGGGGTGCCAGGTGGTACGTCACACCCTGATACTACTGGAGGCAGCGGAACAGCTCCACAGGAATATACAGACAGAACCCTACTAATCCTGATAAACACCGGGCAGACCAACAGACAGCACCTCATTGTCCTCTAGAGGCCAAAGTACTGAAGCATCCAGGAGACCAGACATGATCTTTGGCCTACCATACATGAAGCACCTACCCCATGTCGACATGTACCAAGACTGCCCTGGAAACTGACAGACACAAAGGAAGGTTTGATAGGTGACTATTCAAATTATTATGATTTAAAAAAAAATAAAATCAAGATTTCACCTTTTTTAAGGACATTGTTCCTTAAGAAATGTTGTTTCCCTTATTTTTTTTTTGTACCTATTACCAAACTCATTCGGCTCTGAAACAAGACGCTATGGGTTACGGCACTTTCCCCCATACTGCCACAGCAAAGGTGATTCAGTAAGACTTTGGCACCCAAAAGGACTCTCAACTTAGATTAACAGTGATGGTCTCAATATAGCACAGAATCCTGCACGTAGGAGATAGCCAATGTACGGAGCTGCAAGCTGTGTAGCGGGTGGGTTGCTGGCTGAAGCAGGCTAACCATTAAGAAACCATCCGCTACGTGGCCTTAAGTCATTCTGCAACCCAACAAGTCCAGCCAGGCTGCAATCGAACCAACCACAATTTCTTAAACCAATACTCCCCTCACCTCCAGAGGCACTCAATGACCTAAATGAGGACAGGGCTGTCAAGGGTTTCTGGAAGAAGCCCCTCTGTGCCCAAAGTGCTACATCCAATTATATGGGGCCTTAAGCTTTCCGGCTCAGAGCCATCGGCCATCTGGGACAGCTCACGGCTCCTTAGATTAATTGACCCTATAAGGGATGTACCACAATGAGCTGAGAAATAGCAAATTGGCCTAAGCTGACAAATGTCAGCTAGCTGGAAGAAAGGCAGGAGTTCATGAACAGGTATGGACAAGTACACTAAAAACTGCCTGACACTACGCTAAGGGGCTTGGGTACCTATACTCTAGCTTTTGAAAAGAGTTATTACTCATTTTTATATATAAATATTTATATATATATATATATATATATATATATATATACTATATTTTTTATTTTTTTTAATTAATTAATATATATATATATATATATATATATATATATATATTATGGTTGGATAGACATATAACAGTAAGTAGGGGTATAAGTACAGATGTGTATAATGGTATATATATCTGAGGATAATGTATATAGGGAAATGTACCTGAGAATTATCCTGACCTATCTCAAGAGGAAAGGGGAAGGCGGAGAACAAAGAAATAGGATTACTCCCACTTAGATGACATAACACACTGTGCACATTGAGGACACCCTTTGGCCCTGGCAGTCCATTTATCGGGCTCTGGCATGTTGCATGACTCACTGTACTGAACCATGACCCCCAGTATGCCTCCATAAAAGTGACTGATGTGGGCTGCACCTGGCAGAATCAAGACACTGCCCTCATGGTAACAGATGTAGCCCAGACCATAGATTTCATTTTAGAGACTTCATCTTCCCCAGACTGGACATTGATGACAGACCACACCCTAGCCTACATGCCTGAGACACCCAAGCTGGCACTTCATTAGGGTAAAATCTGGTTGAAGGAAGCTAACCACCATTACCCAGACAACATTCTTTCTCTTTTTCTGACTCACATCGATATCCACCTGTACTTTCTCTAACTTAATATACCTATCCGTTTTTCCTGACCCGACGGGCCCAACATATCACAGACCTGCCCAGTCATCTGCCCATCACTAACTAGCCAGATTGATAAGCCCTCCTCACACTTCCCGATCTTGCTTCCGTATCACACACACACACTTTTTTTTCTCCCCTACCTCCTTCCCTCTTTCCTCTCTTCCTCATGATCCCACACCACCCCATCTTACTATGACCAATCAAGGTGATATGCACCTCCATCAATGCCAAAGGCTTGAACATACCAGTGAAAAGACACACACTCATGTGTTGGGCCTCCCGAACGGTGTCAGACACAAACATGCTCCAAGAAACACATTTCACAGAACAACGGCAGTACCCATTAGTGAAAAGACAGTTCAAAAGACTCTACCTAGCAATAGTATGTAGCCATACCATTACGCATCATAAAAGGAAAAATAGGATCATGCTGTACTTTTTGGGAAAAGCTCCAAAACCTCAACTAAAGCACAAGAGACATTAATCAGGTTCCTAGAGGCATTAAATTTGCCCAAACCCTCTGACATAGCTAGAGAAACTATAGTAGACTAAATGAGGTGGAAGAGCTCAAAGCAGTGCTCAATTGCTCAAACCCTTAAAAAATCCAAGGCCAGATGGCTTCACAGCTCTTTACTACAAAACATTTTGCAGACAGCTACTACCACACCTCTGCAGAGTCTTCAATTCCCTGCTCGGAGGCCAACCACTTCCCCCCAATATGCTCATGGCCAACATATGTCTGATAACGAAACCACAAATAGTCCATTTAGACCATTACTGACCTATTTAGTACCTCAACACCAACCTCAAACTTATCACTAAAAGAACTGTCCAACTGACTCAACCCTTTACTAGGCAAAGTGATAACAACAAGCAGCAGATAACTCCAGAAGAACACTCAACACCGTTTGGTACACAACCAGACAAACTATTCCCACAGTTCTGATATCACAAGATGCTGATAATAAAAAGAAAGTTCAGCGCACTCCCTTATCCACTAAATAGCAACTCCAGTGCTGAAAGATTGTTACTTTTTAAAAAAACACCTAATCTAGGAAAGTATAATGGGGGTTTAGTTATATTATATGATCATACATTGCATAAGCCTGCCACAATGTCAATGTCTTTGGCCCTAACCTTACCACTAAACCTACCCCTAACCCTACCACTACCCCTAACACTGCCCCTACCCCTAACACTAACCTTAACCCTACCCCTACCTCTACCCCTAACCCTACCCCTCTACTGCTAACCCTAGCCCTAACCCTAACCCTAATCCTACCCCTACACTTGTCTTTTGTTTAGTTTTAGTTTTTTTTAGATGATATAAGTCACTTTAGGTGATTGCTGCTTAAGTTTATGACTATATATATATATACATATTTTTTTTTTAACTTTTATATCTTAAAGCGCTATCCACATTTTGGGTTGTTTGTCCACGATTAATTAACTCACTTGGCAAATCCCTTTAGAGGTAATTTGAGCTGGTAACTCTCCCTCTCAGTTTTCAGAACTTCTGTAATTCGATGTCAAAGGAATTTTCAGACTTTGCATGGCTGCTGTTACAAGCTAAGTGTCATAACAGTTTTGACTGACTGCCAAGATGGCCAGACACATTATCTGTCATTCTGGTGGGCTGACAACAACATTCAGCTTAATTCAAATACGTACCACAGCAACCAACCTTCACCAACTGTGGGATAAGTCTGGCAACCTTATGAGAGCACAGGATTGCACCTGTGTGAAGGGTAGAGCCACCTGAGCAATTGAGACACAGTCCTGCTAGCTGCCTCTGCAGACAGGAGAAACAGACAATTTGCCAGCCTGAAGAGAGCTGAATACTGGTTCCATTCTGGACCCTGTTGTCCCCTCCCTTGACTGGTGGAGGTTATCCCAGTCCCAACTGTGGAGGCATTACTTGCCACTTGAAATACCCCATCCACTTGCATATTCTGCATCACATTGTAGAATCAAGATGGCCACCTACACTGCTTTAATGTGCCTCACAGCCTGGGTAATGGAACAAAGATGGGAAGAAATATTCTTGTTGAAATTTGAGGATCTGTGTACATTTTTGGCATTGAATCTAAGGGTAAACACCTCAGCTCATGCTTTCTGCTGAAATACTGGCTCTGGATGCTGCCTCGGCCACTTATGCTCTTTCTGGGCTGGATCTCAGCTGGAAGATGTTCCAGACCATGACCTGGGGAAGTTTGCCATGCATTTTGTGGTTGAAATTAATGCTATATTACAATTCACAGTTTAGCAATTGAAACTCCATCTTGCTTGAAGGCAGAATCTAAATGACAGACACATATTTTTAACTATGTTGATTGAAAAGAGACCAGATGTGTGTCCATTTGTTTAAACAAACCAAGTCATACAACTTGGAATGTGGCTAAAATAACATTCATATCTCTTACAGCCTTACATTGCATTAAGAATAGCACATACTTAAGAATATATCATTTTAACCTGATCATATAAAAGACATTACTCCTCTTTAATAATTTTTTTTAATTAATATATAGCATATATTATTTTTTTATTCTAACACTATGCATTAATTAATAATGACATATTTACCTAATACACATATATCTATACTCTAAAACAATATTGTCACAGTGTAACTAAAACCCAGAAACATATGCAATAACATAAAATTAAATTATATACCCATCTTATAAGCAATTACTTATAATTTATGAGTGTCTATACCTTACTGTGTTAATTCTTAATTCTACAACATTCTGTTCACACTTTGAGGTGACTCTTAGGACAGATACAGTTGCAAGAAAAAGTATGTGAACCCTTTGGAATGATATGGATTTCTGCACAAATTGGTCATAAAATGTGATCTGATCATCATCTAAGTCACAACAATAGACAATCACAGTCTGCTTAAACTAATAACACACAAAGAATGAAATGTTGCCATGTTTTTAATTGAACACACCATGAAAACATTCACAGTGTAGGTGGAAAAAGTATGTGAGCCCCTAGACTAATGACATCTCAAGAGCTAATTGGAGTGAGATGTCAGCCAACTGGAGTCCAATCAATGAGATGAGATTGGAGGTGTTGGTTACAGCTGCCCTTCCCTATAAAAAACACACACCAGTTCTGGGTTTGCTTTTCACAAGAAACATTGCCTGATGTGAATGATGCCTTGCACAAAAGAGCTCTCAGAAGACCTACGATTAAGAATTGTTGACTTGCATAAAGCTGGAAAGGGATATAAAAGTATCTCCAAAAGCCTTGCTGTTCATCAGTCCATGGTAAGACAAATTGTCTATAAATGGAGAAAGTTCAGCACTGCTGCTACTCTCCCTAGGAGTGGCCGTCCTGTAAAGATGACTGCAAGAGCACAGCGCAGACTGCTCAATGAGGTGAAGAAGAATCCTAGAGTGTCAGCTAAAGACTTACAAAAGTCACTGGCAAATGCTAACATCCCTGTTAGCGAATCTACAATACGTAAAACACTAAACAAGAATAGATTTCATGGAAGGATACCACAGAGGAAGCCACTGCTGTCCAAACAAAACATTGCTGCACGTTTACAGTTTGCACGAGAGCACCTGGATGTTCCACAGCAGTACTGGCAAAATATTCTGTGGACAGATGAAACCAAAGTTGAGTTGTTTGGAAGAAACACACAACACTATGTGTGGTGAAAAAAAGGCACAGCACACCAACATCAAAACCTCATCCCAGCTGTGAAGTATGGTGGTGGGAGCATCATGGTTTGGGGCTGCTTTGCTGCGTCAGGGCCTGGACGGATTGCTATCATTGAAGGGAAAATGAATTCCCAAGCTTATCAAGACATTTTGCAGGAGAAAATAAGGCAATCTGTCTACCAGCTGAAGCTCAACAGAAGATGGATGTTGCAACAGGACAATGACCCAAAGCATAGAAGTAAATCAACAACAGAAGAAAATACGCCCAGTCAGAGTCCTGACCTCAACCCGATTGAGATGCTGTGGCATGACCTCAAGAAAGCGATTCACACCAGACATCCCAAGAATATTGCTGAACTGAAACAGTTCTGTAAAGAGGAATGGTCAAGAATTACTCCTGACCGTTATGCACGTCTGATCTGCAACTACAGGAAACGTTTGCTTGAAGTTACTGCTGCCAAAGGAGGTTCAACCAGTTATTAAATCCAAGGGTTCACTTTTTCCACCTGCACTGTGAATGTTTACATTGTGTGTTCAATAAAAACATGGCGACATTTCATTCTTTGTGTGTTATTAGTTTAAGCAGACTGTGATTGTCTATTGTTGTGACTTAGATGATGATCAGATCACATTTTATGACCAATTTGTGCAGAAATCCATATCATTCCAAAGGGTTCACATACTTTTTCTTGCAACTGTATATTAGTTGGGTAAAAATATAGTCTGCTTATCAACTCAAAGTCTGGAAAGTGCTGAATTAAAACCTTTGATGTGTCACTACCTCCATGATGGAGTAACCATAAAATGGCCACTCTGTTACGCATTTTTCATAATGGTTTCCAGTTAAATCATTAAGAGAGAGTGGTTATTGAAAAAAATTATTAAAATAATTATGGGACAATTGCACCACTTAGTGGCCAAATTGGAACTTTTAACCACTAGGATGATGTCATCACTCATTATTATTATTATTTTATTTATATAGCACCAGCAAATTCCATAGCACTGTACAATTGGTGGATTAACAGACACGTTATCATAGTGTACACCAACCCATCCATTTCCATTGGTCACTTCATAAATTTGGATATGAATTTAAGGAGTTAAGAGATTGCTTAAACATAGCAACATAGGAGATGTTGAACTAACTGTTTTGAAACAGGTAAAAAGGTGATATTGAGGATAGTTTGGAGTGTAATAAGAGATGAGTGAAAAGAGATAGAAGGATCACGGTTATAGAGGGATTTGAGCATGAGGGTAAGGCATCAAGAGATACTGCTGGTATGCTGGAAGCCAGTTGAACTGTTGTAGAAGGTGTTGTCAGGTATGGTCAGAATTAAGCATGTTAAAGAATATACAGGCAGCAGCATTTTGGACTTGAAGTGGAATAATGAATTGTTGTGAAAGACCAAGTAGAATAATCAAGCCAGGTGAAGTTGAGGGAATGGATAAAGAGTTGCAAAAGAGATTCAGAAAACTAAATAGGTGAAAATGCCAGACAGAAGTCACAGTGACAGTGGTTATGTGTTTTTCAAATAAAAATGAGGATATAGGATGAGGGGAGAATGGAGTATGTAAAGAAAGAGAAGGAGATATTAATGTTATCTGGAAATAAAAGGGTATTGTAGCCTTGCAATGAGATCAGAGAGAGTGGCAATATAGAGGTAGAAAAGGAAAAAACCGAACCCTGTGGGACACCAATTGGAAGCAGGTTCAGCAGTGTTGATGTATTGTTGAAGGAAACTTGATAGGATCAATCAGAACATCTAAGGATATTGTTACAAAAACTGCAATTTTTTTTGTTTTGCTAATGTATTTTGAATTGAAATACAGATGTATAATTTATATGTAATATCGATATCTAAGGGTTGAAACATCTTGACATGTACAAATTAGATCATCTTTTTCTCCACACTACAGCAAGGTCGTTTGAAATCAAAAGGGAAAACAGTAAAATACGCTATTGCAAAAATAACCTTGAGCTAGAGGAGGAGTCCCAGGTGTAAGCATGAGAAGGATTTTAATTTGTTATGATTCACACAACATATAAATGTGACAAGTAAATTTCAATAATTTATCCAGTGCATTTGGATCTTTGTACAATGAAGCCCATATAATGGGCCATATTATGTAGTGCAAGGTTTGTATCCATGTGAGATTGATCACATTAATATATTTAATTTCATTTTTTGAAAAGTGTATGTAAGATAAAATATATTTGTATATGTGAGATATCAGACTTGTAGACACCAAGATAAAGGTAAGGAAAATCTGCCCTAAAAATTACACTAAAAATGTATTTCACCAAAAGGTCATACATTTAAACATAATATTACTATAAATAACTATTAATTAAAAGTCATTACTATAGTCATAAGTATTTTACTTTATATAATTTTATACATTCTGTAGTATCTACTTGTTGACCCTATTTTATTCAGTAATTTGATTAATCTTTTTTATTTTGATCTATTGTTTGTACTATTTTATTTACTTCTTGTTGGGGATAAAATCAGTCCCCAGTTTCAGAATGTATTGTCTTTGGTCTGTCTGCACTAAAACTTCCAGTGATTTACCTTTCTTTTGCTATTTTCGTGTTTACTATAATCATTACATGAGATTATTTGCTCATATGCAAGATTGATTTTAAGTGTGTTTTAGCCAACCTTTTTAAAGATTGCATTCAGTAAATATCAAATTAAGGGATGTCCCTCAAATGATGCAAGTGAGACACAGTTTAAGACCATAGTGAATATCCTTAGTAGTAGAACATACGTACACTATATATTGTGAGAGATATACTACGTATGTTTAGGTTATCCAACATAATATGGAAACTAGAACGTTTTAGTTATTCTGACCACTAAAAGGAAATTAAGATTATTCTTTTGTGGTTTTGCTGTTGTTATACAAATAAATCTTATTTCAAACCAATATCAAGTTAGGTTACCATATTATGGCTTCAATTTAATATTGTTGGATAAACTTTCCAAATAATTTATAAACTGATTTTTAAAGCATATTAAAACAAAAACAAAAAAAATCTAAAATATATCAAAGTATTAAAATAATTTTCATAAAATTTAATCATTTTAAATGTTTATTCAAAACTATTAAATCAATTTGAAAGTTTATTCAACAATGTTAAATCAGGGCCTATATGTTTCGTATTTCTATTTATCACTGTACATATTTGTATAGATTGAAAAATGACTAATCAACAAATGACTTGCAAAATATTGAATTATGGTGAATTGAAGATTGAATCACAACATTTATATTGAGATAGTAAAGCTTTTTTTCCTACATTTATAATTCAGTTTTCAATTTGCCGTGATTCAGAATTTAGTGGGGAAAATATCCAAAAATGTTTTTATAATATCTTGTGAAATTTTGCTTAAGCACAGTTTTGATGCGCATGGCATTTTTTTTGTCAAAAAACAAAAGAATGGTCTACAAATAACTGAAATTATCAATATTATCTAATATTAAAAGATAATGTGTTCTTCCATTCTTAAACAATGACCTATGATGAGTCATCAACTGGCTTTCACATTTTGAGACAAAAACTAATTTGGTTGAGATGGAGATTACTTTCCTAACTGTTGTTTTTTGTTTACATTTTCTACTTTGTTGTCTGCTTGCCAATTGAAAACTAAATTAGAAATTGTAGGTAATAAGAGATGATTAAAAAAAAAAAAATCTTCAAGTCTCCACAATTTGGTGCAAAGTGAATAAACCATTGAAAATTCACATACTAAAGTATTGCAACAAAAATAAAAGAAGCTAAAATGGAACAATAAACAATAAACCAATTGGACAACTCTGTTTAAAAAAAAAATGAATGATTTGTAATTTTACGTATACATCTTGTAAGTTCTCCAACTCCAACTATTTTGACTAAACATTTGAAATGTAATGCTCAGTTTCTACCATTTTCTGATTCAGTTATTAACCATGAAAGGAGTTAATTCATTAATTGGGAATCACAAGAGTGTTAAAGTTTGGCTTTTTTGTGTTACAATTTGCAGTTCCATTTGTCATTTCTTCGTTTTCCAATTTCGTGAATATTATATATTGCCAGTAGTGGTGTTTTGTTTTTAATGCTCCAGCTATTCAACTAGAATGTTTGCATGACATTTCATTCATACTACACCCTGTTCCAAATTATTATGCAAATTCTATTTACGTGTCACAAAGATTAAATATTTTGGTTTTCAGTTTAACTCATGGATGATATTGTGTCTCATGGCTCTTTTGATCACTGAAAACAATCTTGGACACCTTTGATAATTAGATTGCCAGGTAAACACAATTTAAAGAAAAACTACTAAATGAGGGTGTTCCACATTATTAAGCAGATCACCATTTTCATGCAATATGGGGAAGAAAAAGGATCTCTCTACTGCAGAAAAGAGTGAAATAGTTCAATGCCTTGGACGAGGTATGAAAACATTAGCTATTTCATGAAAGCTTAAGCATGATCATCGCACTATTAAGAGATTTGTGACTGATTCAGAGCACAGAAGGGTTCGTGCAGATAAAGGCACATTGAGGAAGAATTTTGCCAGATCCATGCATCGGATCAAGAGAACAGCTGCTAAAATACCATTACATAGCAGCAAACAGATATTTGAACCTGCTGGTGCCTCTGGAGTCCCACGGACATAAAGGTGTAGAGTCCTCCAGAGTCTTGCAACTGTGCATAAACCTTCTATTTAGCCACCACTAACCAATGCTCACAAGCAGAAATGGCTGCATTGGGCAGAAAAACACATAAAGACTAATTTTCAAACAGTCCTGTTCACTGATGAGTGCCGTGCAACCCTGGATGGTCCAGATGGATGGAGTAGTGGATGGTTGGTGGATGACAAGGCTGCGACATCAGCAAGGCGGTGGTGGAGTCATGTTTTGGGCTGGAATCATGGGAAGAGAGCTGGTCGGCCCCTTTAGGGTCCCCGAAGGTGTAAAGATGACCTCTGAAAAGTATGTGGAGTTTCTGACTGACTACTTTCTTCCCTGGTGCAGAAAGAAGAACTGTGCTTTACGTAATAAAATCATCTTCATGCATGACAATGCACGATCTCATACTGCAAAGAATACCTCTGCATCAATGGTTGCTATGGAGATAAAAGGAGAGAAAGTCATGGTGTGGCCTCCATCCTCCCCTGACCTCAATCATATTGAGAACCTTTGGAGCATCCTCAAGCAAAATATCTATGAGGGTGGGAGGCAGTTTACACCCAAACAGCAGCTCTGGGAGGCTATTCTGACATCTTGCAAACAAATTCAAGTAGAATTAAAAAGGTTTTCTAAAAAAAACAAACTAATGTTTTACTGCCTATGCATTACTTAGGAAATAAGATAAGAGGAAAAGGATAAACAAAGAGGGTGCCATGAGTTGTGCCATGTGGTCGCTGATATCAAATAAGGGGTCCTATGTTAAAATGTAACGTGACCTGTTAAAATGTTTAAAAAGTTAAAATGTTGTTAGAAGTTTGATTGAAATAGCTTTTGATTTCAGTAAATATGCTACAAACACAACAAATGACAATTTTCAGTTCTTTACAACCTATAAAGTGTTTTGAAACGTACTGTGCATAATAAATTGGAACAGTGCTTTGTAAGTTTTTTATGTTTAAAAAAAATACTATTATCATTAGGAGGTTTGTTCAATACAATTTTAATTGTACTCTTAATAAATGATAACATGAAAATTATGCTGACTATTATTTACATCAATTATTTAGGTAAATGAGAAAAATATCATTTGCATAATAATTTGGAACAGGGTTGTAGTGGAGTAGTAGGGGTTAATCCAAGAGCTCTCCGCTGGGAACAAAGATTCAGCATACAAGAATACAGGAACACAGCATAATCCCCCTCTCCAAGGACTAGACGACACATAGTCTTTGAGTCAACTGAGGTCTTTATTCACAGTTCTGCTTTTATGCATTTTTCCCATGCAAGGGAGGTAACTTTCATAATTATTACAGTATCCAATCACATAGTGGTTACCTCCCCTACATCTCCTCCCCTTATATTAACAGTTAACGTTATTAATAGGTACACAGTTTTCCCCAATTCGTGGATGTACCCTAAATACAGGGGGTACACCTTTGAATGAGGGGTCCCCTGGTAGCCCTGATCTAGGTGAGCAACATACTCAAAATTAACCCAGATCGGACCAGGGGTTCGGGAGTTATTGCAGGATAAAGATTTGACCGACCGCACGGGCATAGTAGCCGAAAATAGTTCCATGAATTCTGGCCCTGCGGTCGGTCTCTTTTCATGAATCAAAAGTCCCGAAAGTCTATGGCATCCAGGCTTCACTTATCATTCGGATGAATCCCCTAGTTCGTGGGATTCCACATACTGAATGCTGGGGTGTTCGGGTGGTTTGTTCGTTACTTTTAGGCGTGCTGGAGGTCTTAGCTGTACTTGGTTAGTCGAATGCCCGATTTGAGTTCCAGGCATTCGACAACCAAGTACCGCTGTTCGTGCATAAGATGGCCGCCGCCACGTGTTCAGTAGGAAAAATGGCGGCCGCACACGAACTCTCCATTAGCACCCTTTGCAACATTGTTGCCTTCGGTAATAAGGGGCACACAGCCACACCGGGGTGGTCCCTCATTCGGCAGTTTACTAGTGTAAAACTGCAGTGTAGATAGTTTGTGAACCGAGTCTCTGGTGATTCCTGCCTTAGCAAACATACGTCCATTATAATGCAAGCGTTTATTCGCATAGAACAGTCAGTCTCTTAGTGGCATGGTTTGCCACAAGGGTGTATACTCTTTATGTTCTTTTGCTTTTTTTTGTTTATACTATTTTTGGGATTGCAGTGATTGCCACATATCCACTATGTGTCTTCCTTGCTTCTCTCTGAGACTAATTTTGACCAGAGACCATAACAAGTGATTACATCACACTAAGCAGATTGCAGGTAAGATAAATAAACAAAGAATAAACCAGAAGAAAGGTAGTGCCAATAATAAAATAGTATCTATAAAAATATAAAGATATATTATAAAATAAGATAAAATAGAATAAAATAAAAAGTCCACTGTAAAAAGTCAAACCAAAAGGAAATAAAATACCAATTGTAGGGGAACAGCAGAATCTTAATAAATGTAAGTGTCTTTCATGGGGTTCTGAGTCATGTACGGCTCAGAGTCCAAGAGTGCATATGTAGAAAAGACAAAAGAAAAAGTTCCAATGGTACAGTATGTTTGAATATTAAAGCTGTACAAATAACAAATAGGTCCTACTCACATTTACTGGAGCTAAGGCCAGCTCTGGTATACACAGCACAGAATGGTATTATCCACACTTCTATGATATATAGGTAGGTAGAACTCTTAGTTATACAAAGAACAGATAGGTCCTACTCACATTTACTGAAGCTATAGGGTATATAGGTAGGTAGAACTCTTAGATCTCTCAGCGTGGTATCGTTAAGGGGAGCCCAGGGTAATATAAAACAGATTAAAAAAGAGAGAAAAATAGTGCTCTCTGTATGTATAAAACCCATGAATAATAACAGTATATGTATTGTACTCACATTTGGTCAAGCAAACTCACTGCTCGATGTATGGGGTGCAGGTGGTATGATCCCCACCCTGGATTCTTTGGTGAGGTCCTCACTGGAGTCAATAGTCAGGATGCCAGGCAGTTGATAAAACAAATAAAATAACATAAATAAAAGGAGTATGGCACAAATATTGTATAAAAATAGCCAATAATCCTTTAATAATAAAACAAAACCAATTAAAAATCTTCTACAATGTGTTTCACCTCTCAAAGGCTTTCTCAAGTAGAGATAGTTAAATAGCTTCTTTTAATCTCCCTTTTTATAATGAAATTTACCCTAAATCAAAATGAAAAAAAGGAACACAGTTTTTTGAGATTAGAGGGGTCCTTTAAAAATGAAACATGATGATGTGCATTACAGTTATGTAAAACAAATCTATTACATAACATGAAGCAATATCCACAAAACCAAACCTTATTCTTGCATTACTCATATAAAACATGTAGTAATTGCCTGAAAGCAATTTGTCTTACCACTTCAGTGAACAAAATGGTTTGCAAACAAGTTTATGTAGTCACAGATCCAATGACAAATGAGAAGTAGATAGAAAATCTATGCTTGCAAGCAGTATTCTTCCAGACACTTTGATGTAAGCTATTGAGGGACATAGACCATGATTTTACCTTTGTGGATCCTATGTGGGAGTGGAAAATGCCCTGTGTCAATCCTAGTATGAGACTAATTAGGTTAGGTTATTGATGTACCTACATACTTGCTGTTTTCCTTACCACAACTTTGATTGGGAGATCATTGATCATAGTGGATTCTGGTGGTTAAGTTACTGCTGTACCAGTCCCCTGCCAGTGGCACAGTGCCAACTTTGAGCGTTAGCTTGACAGCCTGTCTAATTTTTCCTAGTTTGAGATTGGGGTCTTAGGTTACAGTTGTGCTTAGAAAACTTTAAGTTGGATATATATATATAGTCTGTTTAATTGTTTATTTGATCCGAGTGTGAGATTGGAGTTTAGCCACTGCCATGGCCTCTTACACCAACTTTGAATTGTACAAATAAAGATAAAGGTAGGGGGCGCAAAAGATAAGTGTAATAGAAAGATATTTAAACAAATTTAGGCTTATTCACACTTGTCCATCAACATACGTGAGTTCAGAAAAAAATACAAAAGTGGATGTGGACAAGAATAAAGGTGCTTAATATATTATTTAGTGTGAATTATAGAATACAGCTGCTATGTGCACTTTTAGTGAATACTCCAAAAGACACTATAATTATAAAACATACAAATAACAAAATACCAAGTAGTGATCAGAGTGCAAAAGACTTCAAACACAGCTTGATGTAAGTGCATCGCTAAATAGTGATATAGAATTTATTATAATACACTTACCCCTTACAGTATATGTGGGGTATACATGTAAAAATAAACAAAAAAATATATATATAGAGTAGTATTATCTGATATGTTGGAAGGTATATCAAATGAATAAGAAGAGTAAAACTCACATTTGGGAGAGCCTTTTATAAGGATATAGGCTCTAAACACAACAGTGTCTTTGCCTTTAAAGGCAATAATACCTTGAAGTAGGGGGCGTTCTTCCTTTTTTCGTCGGTAAATTATATCTCAAATGAAACATAGAAAGAGATTCCTTGGTGCAGATAGTATGAGCAGATAGTAGAAATTAAATATATAAGCTCAATTGCTCACCTTGTTTAGAGCCTTTTAAACTGACTCTAAGTATTGTAGGCATAGATGTCAGTAACCAGATGGCACTTCCCTCTTATGGATATCACAAATATGGAGAGGAGATGGATTATGGATGACTAACAATATAATTTATTTATACACAAAATAAACATAAATAAAATATACATATGTATTATAAAAAGAATCCTCTCCCTCCTCTGTTCAGAAACGCGTTTCGCCGTCTTTTATCGGCTTCCTCAGTCTGTATTTGTGATTCCCTTGGTATCCGGTTTTAAATCTTCCTCTTTTGCGCCTTTTTCGGCCGCCGGGTTTCACTTCCGGTTTGGCGTCGTGACATCACTTCCGGGTCGGCTCGAAATTGCCGATACATCACTTCCGGATTTTAGTTCCTACTACAAATCCCGGCATGCTTCACTTCTACTTCTGAACTATAGAGTCCATTTCCACACTTGTCACACTTTGACACAGTGTATGGAAGAAAAGTCCATCTTAGTAGCTCAAAGATATAGAAATATATTAATAATACATAAAACATATACATCTTTATTTAAAACCAAAACATATATAGTATATACCAATTCTTTTGGTTTATATCTAGTATTATATAAATATTTTAAAAAAATTAATAAAAAGCAATAAATATGAATAATAAATACATTAACATCCCAAATCCTACCAAAAATAAATGTATTGCAGATTAAATATTGTTATTGATGTAAAAAATAAAAAAAAATGTTTTATGGGAAAAAATGTATAAAAGTTGAATCATAAAATACAAGATCAGAATCTAAGCAACCTAAATATCAATAATAATTAAAATATTAAGTAAATATTATACAAGTTACAGAAAATGGCAAATTTATACTTATTCACACTTGTTTATCAATATACGTGAGTTTAACCTAAATATAAAAACAATCCTTAGCATAATACTGTAACGTATATGACATTGTAATATAGGTGATAAATTTACACCTCACACTTTGCAGAGCCAAGTATAGTAGGCTCTGACTATAAAGGCTTTTCAAAGATCTCTTATTCTGATGTTTCTCCTCTCCTCCACTTGTTAGAGTACCAATACTGGTGCCAGTAATCAGCAGAGTAATGATACAGGTACAGAGTGGGGATATTTAAAGATGACTTTAATAAAATAAAGTAGATATTAAAAGAGATGATGAATACATGCAAAATAAAATCTTGGAAAATTTCGAATAACACTGACACGTTTCGACCAATTTGGTCTTTCTCAAAGTGTATAGTGTCCTTCTCCACTTCCTGGCTTTTATACCCAATTGGAGTTTTCATTTGGCGCCAATCGTTCACTTGCCGCCTTTTTTTCTCATTCACCCATTTCCGTCCAAGTGAGATGACGTGTTTCCATTTACGTTCTGATCTCCATACGTCCAACTTTGAATTGCTGATTTAGAGTTTGACAGTGCATTTTTGTTAACTGTTTGTAGAAATAAACACTTTTTTTTCTAAATGTGTTGTGCAAGTGTGTGAGCACTGCATGTAATATAGTGCAGTACATAGTTTCTTAAAGTGAAATGCAATAATGATACTACATTATTAGCAAATCCAGCAATCTGCAACTAATCACCTTTTGGGGATTTATAAAGTTTTGTTA